CCCCATCTTCCAGGGGCGCGCGCTACCTGATGTCCTCCCAGCTGCCCAGTGGCGACTGGCCCCAGCAGACCATCAGCGGCGTGTTCAACCGCAACTGCATGATCACCTACGCCAACTACAGGTGCGGGGGAGGGGGGAGCGTGCGGCCCCGTAATTTGTATGCGATGGAGCTTGGAGGGGCGCTTTGGGGCCTGGCAGGGTCGCTAGGGGCGAGGGTGGGTAGAGCGCGGCGAGCTCACTTGAAGAGGCGCGCAACCGACGCGTGCAACAGGGTTTATCTGTAGCTTGTTGCTCTGGTTGGATGCGTATGTGCATGCGTGTGTGTGTGTGTGTGTGTGTGTGTGTGCGTGTGTGTGTGTGTGTGTTTGTGTGTGTGTCGCGCGCGTGTGTGTGGATGGGGGGATGCAGGCTGTGGGAGGGGAGCGCCAAGCCGTTTGCAGGCAGGCAGGTGAGTTCTTGGCCAGGCCGGACGCCGGCGAAAGCGCCCTTGGTCGGGGCGACGCTCCGACAGACTGTCCCCGTGCGCCCAGCCTCCTGCCTTCCTTGTTGCTCTCCTTGCCCCCCCAGGAACATCTTCCCCATCTGGGCGCTGGGCCTGTACCGCCGCCTCGTACTGGGAGGGGCCAAGAGGCTGCCCCCGGGCGCGCGCCCCCCGCCCGGCGCCGCGGCGGGCTGGGTCTGCGCGGTCAGCGACTACTACACCGCTTGACGCGACGCCGAGTGTGACATCATCGGGAACGGCTTCACCAAACGTGACGCTCCCTGCACGTGACGTCCCGTTCTTGAGGCGTCAGCACGCATTCTGCGTCCCCGCACGTGGCACGGGCGCGTTGCTGGGGCGACGCGCCACCAGCACCGACGGCAGCGCTTCGCTGGACCCACGCCACACGGGATGGAAGCTGACGGCAGATGGCGGCGGAGCGGCCGGGGCACCCTCGCACACGGCACCCTTGCAAGTAGAGCTGCTGCGGCAGCTTTGATGCTGCCTGCGGGGCGCCGCTAGCTCCTCCAAGTCAAAACTCGCAGACATTCTTTAGCCCACAAGCCGCTCATCCGGCCCTGCGCCTGCTGCGGTCTCGAGCGCGCGACGCCGTGCCGTGGCGCTTGTGGGGACCCCCAGCTGGCTGCTGCCTGTGTAGCTCCGCAGCAAGAGCATCGATGCCGCAGCGGGTCCCAGTCTAGGCCCCTAGCTTGACTTCTTGCAGCGCAAAGAGCAAATTCGAAGGGCGCTGTGTTGCTCACAAGTTTCTAGCCCGCGCGGTGCAAACGCCATGGCGGGCCGTGTGCGGCTTTCTGCACCTGTTGAGTGCTGCATACGGACGGGTGCGCTTTTTTTTCAGGTGGGCGCCGCCTCAGCTTGGCACGCTGCGATTGATACAGCATAGGACTGGCCGGTCTGCATGTGATGGCTGTGCAATGCAATACACTCAAAACATATTGGTAGGAATGACAAGGGGTAAAACGCAGCACTGTGTAGAGAAGACCCATGGCCTGCGAGTGCGAGGCCACGCGAAACCAATTGTGGACACGAGGCTCTGCAAAGGCAAGGCCATGGGGATGCGGTGCTGCGCCGGCTGCACGGCCAGCAAGCAGGGCGGGCGACGCGGCCAGCAGGCCGGGCGACGTGGCCTGGACGTGGCTGACAGAGGATGCATGTGTCGTGTTGAGCGCGGTGCGGCACTCAACCACATGGGCACGCACTGCCGGCAATTGCGCTCCACCCACTCTCGCTGCTCGCTGTGCGCGTGCTGTTTACCAAGCTGGGGTGGCAGTGACGCGGGCACTGTTTTGAAAAGCGTAACTGATGCGCAACACATGATGCTGTCGCTCGCTGCATGACCTCATGCTGGTGCGACGGCCGCCTGTTTCTCGTCACGAGAAATGATATCAACGGTTGATATCAGCACGTCGCATCAGCCAGCCGGTCGCTGATCTGGCGCCCTGCGTGCTGCACCGGCAGAACCCCAACATCCTTTGCAGCGACGCACAGGCCGCCCACTTACAAGCAGGGCGGTGTCGTCGAATGCCACGCTGGATTGCTATGGTAGAAAATCCGTTGTTGAGGTGCCATGGATTCACGATCCCTCGTATAGGGCCACCTTGTCTTCGTTGATTGTGAGCTGGAAGCTGCACGTGAATGGCGTACACACCCACCTGTTTCATTCAGAGCGTTGAAGTGTTGCTGCGGAACACAGTCATTGGGGCCTCACTCATGTGGCCGGTTCAGCTGTTCTGGCACGGCCAGCAGTACAGCAGAGGGCCTCAGGGCACAGGCCCGCTCATCAACAGGACGCCCTGGCAAGTTGCAACATCGCACATGACCACAACGGTGTTTCACGAGGAGTGCAGTACACACACAGGTTCGCTCCAGATGTTGCCACGCAAAGTGATAATGCAGCCACACATTGGCCTGGACCCTGACTGCACATCACTCCCGGTGAGCAGCCAGTGCTGGTGCGGGTCAATGCCACATGGCCGTGGTCAACCCTCCTAATGGTGCCAAGTTGGCTGCCAGAGGGTTGCCAGCCGGGTGAAAGCAGTTGTTTATACAGCTGCCAGTGGCACTGGCAGGTCTGTCTGTCTGTGTCTCCTTTTATCCTTGTCGTACTTGGTGGACTCCTTCTCTATCTTGACGTCCCTTTACCGGTACAGTAGTCTGACTTAAGAAACTTCTTCTGCGTTCAAACAAGTTGTTTGCCACACACACAGTATCCAAAGAGGCTCCTCCAAGGTTTGGGCGTTGCCGCCACAAGTTTCGGTCAGCTTGCTTCCGCAATTTGCTTAACAAATTTTGTTCTCCCCCACTACAAGATGGCAGCCGCAGCGAACCTGGCCAACATGATCGCCGATGCCTCCGTCGAGAAGTTCAAGGAGGAGTGCGACAAGAACGTGTGCACCGTCAGCATCAACCTCCACAACAGACACGAGTACGACATAACCGTCATGCCCATGGCCATCCACGTCGTGCTGAGCTACAAGACGCTCCAGTACAAGGTCCCGCGCGCCGACAAGGAGACCTACACGGACACGATCGACTTCCTCGCAGAGGCGATAGACAATGCGTGCCGCGGCAATCTACACGCGGATGTCGAGTTTGACCGGTACCGGCCCGACAGCGAGGAGTCGCACTACTACTGCTGCCTGAGGGTGCACCGCCACGGGGCGCAGGTGTTCTACCGCGAGTTTGAGCGAGACGACATGCAGAGGGAGCTGAAGCGCTACATGCGCACGCTGCGCCTGCTCAACTGAATGAAAGCAGGGGATCCCGGACCCTTCTCGGCCTCTCCGGAGACTGTACGATGCGAACGAGCCTACAAGAGCCGGAGCTTGCAAGACTGCCAGGGTTGGCCGGCCGCTCTTGGGTGCGTGCGTCACCTGTTGACCTTTGCGGCAGCCATTGCGAGATTGCCTGGTGTGTGTTTTCAGCGGGATCGTCGCTTGTTGAGAAGGGAGAGCTGCATCAACACCTCGTGGCACTCTGTGAGGAGGAGTAGAACCAATGGCTCCACCATATGGTGCTGCTTCTGCTTTGCAACTGCATCCACCTGCCCGCCTGTCACAGCAGCCATCTGCTCAATAATCAGACCCTGCGTATGCGTGTGAGCTTCTTGTTGCCGCAGCCTGGCGACTAGTAATTGTCTGATGGAGTAGAGAACGACTTGACGGTCTGTTTGTACAGCAACGCAATGCTCAGGAAAAACCTGATGTAGTCCGGGATGTCAAGGGCTGAAATCACAGCCGGCATGGCAGGCGAGCACAAGCGGTTCGGGGGCGAGTCCAGGGGAAAGCGGTGCAGCGCCGGCTGCACGGCCAGCAAGCAGGGTGGACAACACAACGACGCGTCTACCGGCGGATGCAAGCAATAAGCCCAGCAGGGCATGGGAGCAAGCGCCTTTGATGGCTTTTTTGTGTGAGCAGAGCCGGGGTGAACGCACTCGAAGCAGATGGGGCAAGGGCAGGGGTGTGACAGTCAACAGCTGTAGGGGTCCTCCCCCCTCCTACCCTGCACGCACCCTCAATCGAGCGCAATTCTGCAGGGTTATCAATGCCTGGGAACTGGGCGGATCCTCATCTGGCTCACTTGTTTGGGCGTTGTCGTAGCCTGCATGGCAAACAGCCTGCCTGCCTCGTGGGGTAACAGTTGGGCTTGCCATCCGATTTTCTTAAAGGGGAAGAGGACGCCGTCACCTTGCAAACTATCTTGTATCAAGTGGATGAGCACCCCAGCAGCCGTATCACCTACAGGCATCCATAGGCAGCTGTGCATGAGTGCACACACCTGTGGTGTGTCAAAGCGCATGTTTGACCAAGTACGGTGTCATCACTTACTGTGACATCGGTGACAGACGCCTGTTGGGATGAATGTTGCGCGTCAACTATGCTTCTTTTGTGGGCGCAGATCGCCACCCGGCTTCGCCAGAACAACGCGTGCATCAGCGACAGGTGTGAATGACTGCAGCAGGTGAGCAGTGCTCCAAGCTGCGTACACACTCTGAGCCACCGCGCTCTATGCATGATGCGTATCTGAATGCGTTACATCTGCCATTGTCGCTTCTCAGACCCACGCTGGGGCGCGCGCAGCAAAGGCACTTGACAGATCGTTTCCGTACTGTGGACGTAAAAGCGCCCATTGGCATCATAATAACTAAACTGATATCAACGCCAACCAGCCATGCATCAGTCGCTGCTGTCAGGAGGGCGCTCTGGCGTCCGGCACCACACCGCACCACGGCCGAACAAGGTGGGCGTCAAGGCCTCGACTCCGGAACAATACTGTATGTTGAGCATGGCATCGCGTATATATCTGCTTGATTGCTACCGCGCCAATGTGCGCTGATATCGCCCTGCACGTGCTGCGTCGGCGCGCAGGCGGCCGCCGCTCCATGTGCCGCCGCGCGGTGCCGCGCCCCGCGCCGCGCCACCGTGGTCGTGGCGGCGGCAAAGCACGAGTACCAGGTGCGCCACATGTACACCAGCGTCCCGCGCAGCTCGACGTCGACGCGGTTGCAAAACGACCACCTTGCTATCTCAGCGCCCCCACATGCCCGTGCCAAAATGCGGCCCCAACAACACCAGCCAGCAGCAGGATCCCCCCCTCCTCCCCTTGCGCCGCCCGCCCCCGTGCGCCGCGGCCCGCACAGCACCGCCCAGCAGTGCAGTGCGCTTTGCAGGAGGCGCCGTCTGCCTCTCACCGACTGATGCGCGCACGCCAACCCGCACGCCACGCCCTGCTGACAGCATCCTGAATATTTTCAATAAGACACCGCATGCCCACGCCCCCTGGCGCCGCCCCCAGGTGGTGAAGGAGGAGCGCAGTGACGGCAGCGTGAAGCTCACGGTGACGGTCCCCGGCGGCCTGGTGCAGAAGAGGTTCACAGAGATCGTCGACATCATGCGGCGGTGGGCGCCCCCGCGGCTGGGAGGGGGGCCTGGATCGGGCCCTTGTGGCAGGGCAAGGACGCGCGGCCGCGGCGGCGGGGTCGGGCTTGGGGCGGGCTCAAGTGTCAGGGCAGCCGGGAGTGGCAGCAGGCCGGCCGCAGCACGAGCAAGGGGGGTGACGGGCGCCGATTTTGCTGCGAAGGACGAGAGCCGTGGCGGCGCGGCGGTCTGCACCCGCGCCTTTGTTGAGCCGACGCCCGCATCACTCGGCGCATCCCCCCCCCTGACAC